ATTACACCTGCATCACACACACACACACACACACACACACACACATCAGTGCAGACACAGGCTGGTGTTGTGTGACCTTGATGGCAGTTTAGACAGGATCAGAGGTGCATTACAGGCCTTGTTCTCTTGTCCTTTTTTCTCTCTCTTTTTTTGTGAACTGAATGGATTCTTTTGTTTGTTGCTTTCTTCCCTTCTACCTCTGCCTGCCCTGCAGACGCTCGAATTCTTCGCTCCTGACTGATGAAATGAGGTTATATAAGTAACTGGAATTAGATCAAATCTGCGTCCAGCACTGTAAAGAATGTCATTGCACTGGGCTGAACTCCAGAGTCCAGCCTCTTCCTGAATGCAGCACACGCCATTAGTTTAATAATGCCTCTTTCTTAGTCATAATGTCATTCATCACCAAGCACGATAGAACAGGACATGTGTTTCAACTTGAATGTTGTCGGGTGTGGTTTGGGGAATTATTATTATTATTTTTTTTTTTTTAACAATTGTTCATGCTTTGCTTGTTTCTGTGATTTGCACTGTAATTTGATATTGATCAGACTTCTTTTTAAATAATTCTAATTACGGCTGCTATTAGGTTTCAGTTTATGCACACAGGCTGGTTTTGTGGTTGTGCATTTGTCTGAGATGTTTGTTTTTACAGCTGTGCATGTGGATGGCAGGGTCTGAGTCTGAAACGTTTCTAAATTATTATAATTTTTTTAATGCAAAAATTGCATTATCTGCACAAACATTTGAGTGAAAAGGTAAATTCAGAAATGAACATGACTTTGAGAATATCATGCAGTATAGCAATATGAGCTATATGAACAAAACCCGACAATCATATTCTCCCGCATGATTTAAGATGATCCAAATAGCATTGGGCTTCAAAAGAAATTTGATTTTGAATCCCAGATTTTTAGATATTTGTGACCTTGGAGCACAAAAGCAGTCTTAAGTAGCAGAGGTGTATTTGTAGCAATATAATACATTGTATGGGTCAAAATTATAGATTTTTCTTTTATGCCAAAAATCATTAGGATATTAAGTAAAGATCATGTTCCATGAAGATATTTTGTAAATTTTCTACCGTAAATATAACAAAACGTAATTTTTGATTAGTAATATGCATTGCTAAGAACTTAATTTGGACCATTTTAAAGGCTATTTTCTCAATAATTAGATTTTTTTGCACCCTCAGATTCCAGATTTTCAAATAATTGTATCTCAGCCAAATATTGTCCTATCCTAACAAACCATACATCAATGCAAATCATATTTATGCAGCTTTCAGATGATGTATAACTCTCAATTTCAGAAAATTGACCCTTATGACTAGTTTTGTGGTCCAGGGTCACATTTGGACCCCACTGTATATACAGTATCAGTATTGTGCATATGCTGCATGTGGATATTTACTTACTAATCATGAGGCCTTCCTCTGACAGGAGGCCGGACGAAAGTCTCGCCAGGCAGAAGAGGAGGCGCTTGAAGGAGTGTGGGGTCCATGGGGCGAGTGGGTGGAGTGTTCTCAGAGCTGCGGAGTGGGCGTGTCTGAGAGGCGGAGACAGTGTATGCCACCTCCCCAAACTCCGCCTCTTATGTGGAACCGACCGGCTTACATTCCACCAGGTGTCCCAAACAACACCCCTGTGATCTCTGCGGTCAGACCCTACTACAACTCCTTGTATCCCGTCAACGAGCCCCCTCCATTTGGAGCAGGGGGCGCTGAGAGGCCTCCTTACTTTTCCCCGCCTCTCCCAGCCAATCCCAATCCTGGATTACCACTCTACCGAAACGAAGCCGATGGCGCTGCTCCAGTGCAGTTCGGCCCACCCAATCAGGAGCCGGTTTCAGTGTACCGTTCACCTTCCTCATCAGCTTCACTTCCCTACGGTAGAGTTCCCGCACGGTCGCCCAATCACGGCAGAGCTGTAGGCAGTGGAAGCAGGAGGTCGGTTTCCACCAATAGGGATCCAGCATCTGTAAGAAGGTGAGCAGGACTGGTCGCCGCTAGGGAAGACCTTCCTGTTTACATTCGCATACTCATTCATAGCTTGGGTTGCATGATAAATATGGCAATATGTCCAACAAAAGGTTGTGATTTAAATTTAAAATATACAGTCTGAAAGTGCTTCTTGCTTGAGTAAAAAGGCGACGCTTTGTCCTTTACTGCACATGCTCAAGGCTTTTAGTGGCCAATATAGGCTTAAATTGTGCATTATGAATGTAGATATTCACTTTTTCTATATTCACGCAATTGCAAACATTTCTAACTGCTACATATATTGTGTAATAATCTGAGTCTTCAGTATATCAGCATTACACTATATCATTCAGACGTTCAGGGTTGGTAGGGTTTGTTAATGTTTTTGAAGGCTCTTCTGCTTATCAAGGCTACATTTATTTGATCAAAAATACAATATAAATAGTAATAATATAAAATATTATTACAATTTAAAATAACTGTTCTCTGTGTGGATATATTATAAACTCTAATTTATTCCTGTGATCAAAGCTGTATTTTCAGCATCATTACTCCAGTCTTCAGTGTCACATGATCTTCAGAAATCAGTATAATATGCTGATTTGCTGCTCAAGAAACATTTCTGATTATCATCAATGTTGAAAACAGTTGTGCTGCACAATATTTTTGTGGAAACCGTGATACATTTTCCTTTTTCTAGTATTTATCTTTTTTAGCATTATAAATGTTAAATACTTCCACTTTTGGTCTATTAATGCTGTCTCTCTGAATAAAAGTTTCAATTTCTTTCAAAAACAAATACTGACCCCAAACTTTTGAATGGCAGTGTATTTTGAAATGATATAAAACTTGAATTAATAAGTAGGTTGAGACCCAATCACACAATTAAAAATTAGTGCTGTCAAATGATTAATTAAATTGGATGTGATTAATCGTGATTAATCGTTTGACAGCACTACTAAAAGTACAATTTCAAGTTGAGTAACAATGTGAATGCCAAGAGAACTGGGTTCACTGTTGAGTCACTGAATAAGGTCTAACTTTGAATCTTTTAAAGAAAACCAGTGGGATTTCTCTAAAAGTCTTTCTGTGGGATAAAACAAAACTTAATGCCCGTTCACACCAAGGACGATAACGATAAAGATATAAATCGTTCTAAAAATCGTTAGGGTCCACACCACAGCTATAATGATCAAGGCACAGAAAAACGATATCGTTGGAATCACTTTCAGAACATTATTGTTCCAGCTGATGAACGATACAAACTTTGACACCCAATCAGAATCAATCCTGCTATCACGAGCTTGAGAATTTAAAGCAGCAGACGAATAAACAGCTGATATCGTTTGCTGGTGTGGACGTTAATATAGTTCTGTCATGGCATGGTAATGTGCATGACAATGTTAATGTATTTGGTCTTGGCGGAATAGATCTGCTACGCTGCTGACTTGCTACCAATACATCCACAACATGCTGCTGTGAGCATGTAAGAAATACTGCTGCTGCAAATATAACATACATGAATAACCCCCATATAGCATACATGAATCACCTCATAGCAGATCTATACAGGTGGAGCTGGGGAAGGTGGAGGGTTTCTGAAGCAAGCTGCGACTGCTACGGCAAGCACTAGTCATATATTTGAATGTTGAGCAGCGAGCTCATTGGCTACCGATACAGGAGAGAACCAATCAGCTGTGCCACGTGATAATGATATCATTAGGTCAGATTGAGTTAGACCTATTGGACTGTGCCATCTAGAGTTACATGCCAGAACTCTGTATTTAACTATATAGTTAACATTCTTGGTGTGAACGGGCCTTTAGAGTAAAGTGAAAATACAAGGCATTGGTTTTCACAAACCTTGTTCAACATCAGCTGTTTTAAAGGGATTTGTATTGTTCATTTAGCATTGATTTCTTGATGTCTAATGTGTTTATCTATTCTAGCGTACTCATATATGTTATTTTCTGTCCGTGTCACATTAGGTCTAGTTCTTCTATTCGTCCCGGACAGTTTGGGTATGGCAGGGTACCGTTCTCTCTTCCCCTACACAGACAAAACCGTCACGCTCGACACACACGCCACCACAACACCACTACCACCACCACTACAGAAAGTCTGGATGCTCTCAGTGTGAACTCCAGCGCACTTGTGCATAAAACACAGGGAGAAGTAGAACAAATTATCACAGACACTGTTAATAGAGAACGAAAGGAGAAGGAAAAGGAGACGGAGGCAGCAGACTTGGAGACTGATGTTGCAGCCGAGAAAACAAGTGATGGAGAGCCGCACAGACGCGTGGAGAGAGTGCGGGAACACGAGCGAATCACACATTCACAGCCCCTGACCCAGAGACACGTGGCCCACGACAGACGCGTCGATGGACGCTCTTCTCGCCAAGTCCCACACTCCTACACACACACCGTCCAGCGATCACACACTCCCAGAGAGCCTCCTCCCTACGTCCTCCAGACTCCCACAAACCCAAACCCCGAGCCCTGGGTCCTGCAGAACGCTGCCCAGCCCTCCAGAAATGAAGCTGAGAGGGACCGGAGACCTCCAGGGGCCGCCCTCAACTACAGATGTCCTGGACGAGACAGAGAGTACCGCAGGTGCAGCCTACAGGTGAGTCCAGCAATATGGAAGAAGAAGAAATGCAGCATCTGGGCTTTTGATTTCTGCTGCTGGTGGTTATTTTTTAACATTAAGCTTTAGATTTGAAAGTTTGATGGGGACAAATCATGGAAAATTGTCTCTTTTAAACCCTAAATGGCCTGCTTATTATAGAAATAATATACTTTAAAAGAATTTACTAAAGTGCGAACTGAATGTTTTCAGACACTTAATTGCACGTTAAGTGCAATTAAATAAAAATAGGTGTTACAGTTTAAATTTATGTTGAATGCAATTAGCTGAACTATAGAGGTTTTTGACCCACTTAAGTAGGACTTAAGTACATTTTTATATGCAATTTCATAATGACTTCTATTGTCTTTGAAATAAAGTGTTACGGCTGAATGCACTGTTTATGCATCTTTATGATAAACTAAAATATACTTTAATGCCATCTCTATTGAAACTTGTATTTTAAATATATTTGTAATTACACATTTGTAATAATGATGAAGTTGCAATTTAGTGGTAAATGATTGATTTTAAATGTAATTTTAAATAACACACTGCAGTTAAAATTATAATCAAGTATATTACATTTGCTTTAGTTTGTTAGTCGCATTAAATAAATGAACTTCTTTAAAGCACAACAAAAGATTATTAAAACATAATATTTTAAAATGTAAAACTTTTAATGTGACATTATTACAAAATGCATTTTTAAAGTATTACATTATTACAAAGTGCACTTTTTTAAAGTGAAAAAATAAAGTGTCTCTTTTTAAGTGCACTTAAGTGAGCTTTTATTTAAGTAGTATTATGTAATCTGTAAGTACAGTGTTTAAAAACATACTTTAAAGTTTTTTAACTGCAAGTGCACATTCAGTACAATCAAGTGCACTTCTTTTCACAAGGCAAATAGCATAGTTTGATGTAGAAATACTCTAATCATAACCTTCAGAACGCATAGACATATGATAGTCATATTTACATATCAGTCTCTTTTCAGTATTTATAACTTGGCTGTCTCTAATGAACGAGAGCTGGGACACGGAGGTTAGCCAGTCATAACAGAGGTAATTTGTCAAATGCAGCAAAAACAGCATGATTAATTTTACGGGTCAGAGAGAGGGTGGAAAGTTCTCATGAAAAATGGTGCAAAAAACCCCAGCTACTATTGCAAATGACATAAATGAAATGCTACTAATGTGTGGCTCCTTTAACTGGCTTGGTAAATGGGCTAATCAGAGTTTAATCTCATTCAGCCTGCCTTAGACTTTCTAATACCAAATATTTACCATTTGTATAATGACCTCAACTTCTAAAATGGAGTTTGCATGTGTTTGGGAATGATCTCAGACGATCCACTCAGCCAGCAATGGTGTGAGTTTGGAGCAGGACTAACCGAACAGTGGTGCATGACGAGAGGATTCGGAAATCTCATGATTTTGCTATTCTGTTTGGTGAAATGACACACTTTAGCTTTTAAAGGGATAATTCACACAAAAAATGAAAACTTGCCGTCAGTGTACACACCTTCAGGCCATTCAAGATGTAGGTGACTGTTTTCTTCAGTAGAACAGAAAAGAAGATTTTTATCTGAAACCGTAAAAATTGGTGATTCATAAAATGCAAGTAATCGGCTACCCGAATCAAAAAAAGCATATCAGGCAACACAAAATGAATACGCGTGGCTCCTGACAATATATTGAGGACTTATAAAGCAAAACCATCGGTCTCTACAAGAAACTAGATGCTATTTGCAAAATTATTACCTGTAATCCAGATCCTCAGGCAAATGGGGAAGTCTGATTCTTTGAGTCTAATTCTTTCTGATTCCACAGACTGGTTCTTTTGGACAGTTCGTTTCAATGAACTGGTTTAAATAACCGACTCACCAGTCTGTTTACATAATCACGTCACTTATGCGCAATTACATTGTTATATTATACAATAAAGATGTGAAATGTGGATGTTTTACATGTCTAAAGCATATAAACATGCTTGTATCAGCGGCTCTTTGGTCCGAGCCGAACTGTTTCCTCAGTTCAGTGACTGCTGCTGAAACTGGAGCACTGAATCAGTTCATTCATCACAGGATCAGATGCGCTACTATTCCGGCTCATTTCCAGTCGGAGTGACTGTCAGGCATCTGAAAGTGAGTTTTGATTGAGTAACTTGTAGATCTGCTGCTCGAGCCGTGATCGGTTTCAGACGATCAGTCCGATTTGGTGAACTGGTTCATCTAGTTCACTTAAAAGAGTCGGTTCAAAAGAACGATTTGTTCGTGAATCATTCCAGACCATTTGCCTGAGGCTCTGGTTTACAGGTAATAGGTTTACAGGTAATAATGTTGTAAATAATGTTCAGTTTCTTGATTGTTTTGTTTCGTGAGACCTCAATATATCATCAGGAGCCATGGGTGTTATATTTTTCTTGCCTGTATATGCCTTTTTGGCTCTCAAATTGATGGTAGCCGCTGACTTGCATTTTATGAATCACCAAAGAGCACAGTTTCAGCTAAAAATCTTCTTTACTGTTCTACCGAAGAAAAAAGTCACCTAGATCTTGGATGGCCTGAGGGAGAGTAAATAAAATTTTCATTTTTGGCTGAACTGTCCTTTTAAATATGCTGGTTGGTGTAGAGTGACAATGTTTCACTTGCACTGATTATGGCTAAATGTTCCCATTGGAAAGTCCCTTGTTACATCACTCGAGAAGCTCTTTAGCTTTACATCAACCTCCCAGATTTAACCACAGTTTGCTGAAAGTGCTTCATCCGAGCCACTAGTAATTACCGCTGATTTTCTGAAAGATTTCATCAAACACTTTCATCCCAAAGCACCTTCTTCATGTCAAAGGGATGGATTTCACCTTATTCCAGGAGCCGGTTCTCCATCCATCTCTCAGAAACTCCACAACAGTCTTTTCCTTCAACTTGCCTTCCAGATCGACTTGGTTCATTTGAGCTGAGCCTCGTTCTCACTCCCCTGGCGAACGCTGACTAGAGCCAGATTCTTTGCAAATCGTAAATCACCCAGTTCCCTTTAATCCAACTTTCCAGGATCAGCCTGGGCGGTAGTTATATTATACATCTCCGAGCCGTTCCAGCGGCAGAATGTGAGCTCTCAAAACCAGAGTTAGCCATTTTTGAACGGCGGTCAAGTTGATGTGGTGAAGCCGTTTCCTGCTGTTGGTGGCGTGATACACACAGCAGACACGAGTGACTCGCTTTTAGAAGGATTACTTCAGACACATTGTCAGTGTTTGTGTTACCCCGGTAATACGTCGGTCTTGTGGGTCGTGAACAAGTGCTGAAATCTGAGCGAGGGCTCTGGTAGCAGGTTTGCTTGAGCTGTAATTGTTTTCTGTGTTTGGATAATTCACACAATGTGACATCTTTGTCAATTTACCCACCCTCATGTCATCCCAAGCCACTATTATTTTCATATGCGCACAAAATATGCATTGCTTTTGTGCTTTTTGGTTCCCATCCACCTTGGAAAGGAGCATCTGTGACATTGTTCAACATCTACTTTTGTGTTTCATGAAGGACAGAAGGACACACTGGAGAAGAGAAAATGTAATTTCTGTCATTTCAAATTACAACAATTGTAATGTACTTAAAATCTTAGTAGTGTATTTTTTAGTGCAGTCAAGCGATTAATCGCATCCAAAATAAGTTCAGCAAGTTTTTGTTTGCATAATATATATATGTGTGTTCTGTGTATATTTATTATGTATATATACAGTAAATACACATACACACAGTATATATTTTGAAAATATTTACATGTCTATATTTATATTCATATATTTAATATGTAAACATAACATATTTTTCTGAAATATATACATGCATGTGTGTGTATTTATATATACATAATAAATATACACAGTACACACACACATATGTTATGCAGACAAAAACGTTATTTTGGATGCGATTAATCGCGATTAATCGCTTGACTGCACTAGTATTTTTAAATAATCTGTACTTGCAGATAATATAACATTAATGAAATAAAAGGCCACTTTACTTAAAGAGAGACACTTTAATGACTATGATTCTTAACACACTTAAGTACACTTTTAAAAGTGCAAAGTCAAATTAAAAGTTTTTCTTTAAAGTACATTTTAAATCATTATGTTTTAATAAACTTTAGTCATGTTTTAAAGAAGTACACTTATTTTGATGTGCTGACTAACATGTAAACTATTATACATTTTCATTTAATTGCAGTTATCATGCAATGAAGTATCTGAAAACATTACGTTCAGTTCACAATTAGGTATATTCTTGTAAAGTATATAAGTACTCGATTTAAAAGTATGCCAAAGTGCATTTCTATTTCACAAGGGAATTTAAGCAGTTGTATCTTTGGGCCAAAAATCCCTGAGGCGAGGGATTCCTTAAGATGCATTACAACATCTTATCTCTCGCCCTTACCTAAGCGTTTATGCTAAGCATTTCACAACAGTTTCTGTCATAACACAGCGTTGGAGATGCTCTTGCCGTAGTTACAACATTTCTCACTCCGTGTGTTCACTGCAAGTGAGATGTGCAATGCAGCACAATGGAGCTAGATTATAATTGCTGTGTAAAAGCCCTTTGCAAGCAACATATGAATCACAAGTTATCAGTCACATGACATGTTCAGCCATTGCCTTAGATTTCCACAGATTCCCCAAGGGACCTACAGGTTAAATCCGTCATTTTATGGGGAATTGGTTGCTAAGAGTTTTTTCAGCAACACATAACTGAGTACTTTTGGTTTGAAACCGAGCTTTAAAATGCCACAGATGGAGGTGGATCCCAGGAAAAGTTCTACACAGCAGAGTATGTGTGTGTGTTTATCTCTGTAGTGTGGAGTGTGTGTTGAGGGGACGGTCAGATTACTGGGCATAGAAAGACAAACTCAAATGTTTTGACTGCAAGTGGAGCTCCTGAACACTTGATGACCATGTGCTCTCTCTCTCTCTATCTCTCGTACACACTTTAATCTCCTTAA